TAATCAATCCAAAAGGAAGCAGAAGAGAGGAAAGAGGAGGAGGAGAGAGGAGAGAGGAGAGAGGAAGACGAGGAAAGACGAAAGAGGAAAGAGGAAAGAGGAGAGAGGAGAGAGGAGAGAGGAAAGAGGAAAGAGGAAAGAGGAAAGAGGAAAGAGGAGAGAGGAGGGAGGAGAGAGGAAAGAGGAGAGTGGAGAGTGGAGAGTGGAGAGTGGAGAGTGGAGAGAGGGAAGAGGAGAGAGGGAAGAGGAGAGAGGAGAGAGGAGTGAGGATAGAGGAGTGAGGAGAGAGGAGAGAGGAAGGAGGAAAGAGGAGAGTGGAAAGAGGAGAGAGGAGAGAGGAGAGAGGAGAGTGGAGAGTGGAGAGTGGGAGAGAGGAGAGAGGGAAGAGGAGAGAGGAGAGACAAAAGATGAGAGAGGAGAGAGGAGAGAGGAAAGAGGAGAGAGGAGAGAGGAGTGAGGATAGAGGAGTGAGGAGAGAGGAGAGAGGAAGGAGGAAAGAGGAGAGTGGAAGAGGAGAGAGGAGAGAGGAGAGAGGAGAGTGGAGAGTGGAGAGTGGAGAGAGGAGAGAGGGAAGAGGAGAGAGGAGAGACAAAAGATGAGAGAGGAGAGAGGAGAGAGGAAAGAGGAGAGACAAAAGAGGAGAGAGGAAAGAGGAGAGAGGAAAGAGGAGAGAGGAGAGAGGAGTGAGGATAGAGGAGTGAGGAGAGAGGAGAGAGGAAGGAGGAAAGAGGAGAGTGGAAAGAGGAGAGAGGAGAATTGAATGGATGGAGTGGGCACTCTACACAGTTCAACCCAGTCATTAACATGTCTCAACCCAGTCATTCACACAGCTCAACCCAGTCATTCACACAGCTCAACCCAGTCATTAACATGTCTCAACCCAGTCATTCACACAGCTCAACCCAGTCATTCACACAGCTCAACCCAGTCATTCACACAGCTCAACCCAGTCATTCACACAGCTCAACCCAGTCATTCACACAGCTCAACCCAGTCATTAACACAGCTCAACCCTGTCATTCACACAGCTCAACCCTGTCATTCACACAGCTCAACCCTGTCATTCACACAGCTCAACCCTGTCATTCACACAGCTCAACCCAGTCATTCACACAGCTCAACCCAGTCATTCACACAGCTCAACCCAGTCATTAACATGTCTCAACCCAGTCATTCACACAGCTCAACCCAGTCATTCACACAGCTCAACCCAGTCATTAACACAGCTCAACCCTGTCATTCACACAGCTCAACCCTGTCATTCACACAGCTCAACCCTGTCATTCACACAGCTCAACCCTGTCATTCACACAGCTCAATCCAGTCATTCACACAGCTCAACCCAGTCATTCACACAGCTCAACCCAGTCATTAACACATCTTGTTACTGAACTAACTGTAACTGTGACTGTGATTATCTGTGGAGAGGCTGACTGAGGTTAAAGTGAGCCTGTTCTCCTTGATGCTGTGTGTGTTGACAGAGTGGACACAGCTGATGCCCTCCACTCCGGACTATCGTCATGGGAATACTCAGCACGGAACCCTAAACCAGACATTCCCACATCCACACGCCATGCCAGGATCTCTATGCCCTCTGAGTGGCTAGCAGTGCCAGTCCCACCACACATTGCATTTTCTCAGTGTGTGTGTGCCTCCCTTCTGCCAGTCTCTCTGTGGCCCGGCTTGGCTAGGTCAACACCAAGGGGATTGGAGGTGCGGTTTCCGCTTCACTCACCCGTGCTCCGCAGAGGCAGGGCCGTTCATTAGCATTTCCCATCAGCCCCGTGCTGTCGGCAATGTGGTGGAAAATGGGCAGTAAGAGGGATCTGTTTTATGCTCCGTGCTCTGCAGACTGCAGGCGGGGCACACACACACACTCAGATTTAGGTTCTGCAGCTACTGAGGGTTCATCTGTTGTAAAGCATTTGAAACTGGGAGGAAGGCACATAGAAACACACTGAGGTTTTTGTAGGCCTACATGCGTGTGAGACTGGGAAGCTGTGTGCCCATTGGTTGACAAAAATCAGTTCCCAAGCCTTCTTTTATGTGTTCATGTGTCACCTGACATTTTGGGTCTATAAAGCTGTTTTATTTTGTCATTTTTAAATGTTTCCTGTTGTCTTTTGTATAGTCAGGCCTAGGCTCCGGCCAGGAGACACACACAGTCTGGACACAGACACACAGACAGACTGACTGACAGACTGACACACTGTTACACAGTCTGGACACAGACACACAGACAGACTGACTGACAGACTGACACACTGTTACACAGTCTGGACACAGACAGACAGACAGACAGACAGACAGACAGACAGACAGACAGACAGACAGACAGACAGACAGACTGACTGACAGACAGACAGACTGACACACTGTTACACAGTATGGACACACAAACACACACACACACAGACAGACAGACAGACAGGACAGCCACACTGTTAAATAGTGTGGACACAGACAGACACAGCTATAATGTTAGATAGTCTGGACACAGACAGACAGACAGACAGACAGACAGACAGACAGACAGACAGACAGACAGACAGACAGACAGACAGACAGAAAGACAGGCAGACAAACAGGCAGACACACAGACAGGCAGACAGACAGGCAGACAGCCACACTGTTAACCTCCAACTGAGGAGTGTTTACACAGGGACAGCTGTTGTTGATGGCTGCTGGGAGTCTTTGGGGGAGCTGTGGACATAATGATGGAAGCATCAGGGTGAGAGAGACAAACAGGGGGGTGATGGAGACAGGAACAGACAGCAGAGGTGTCAGAGACAGGCGATCAGGACAGTACCTTTGGAGCGTGACGGGTACTGTAACGAAGGATTGCACTAGACAGACAAGAAGGAAGAGGGAAGGAGTGAGGACGCGAGGGAAGGGGCGTCTGGGATTTGGAGTGTTTTGCAGTGTCTCTGTTTAGTTTGATTGTTCCAAGACACTGTTTCTGTTGACTTCATTTGATCTATTTGTTTTATCTTCAGCTTACATTTTCTGGAATGTTATTTTTGTGGCCTGGCTGGCATCTCTCCAGTTTGATGATGTCTGAGTGGTTGTCTTTGTGTCTCTGATCTGTTGTATAGGTTACGCCATCCTACAGGCAATCATGGAGCGAGCAGGTCAAAACGGTTGGCAGGTGAGCACCACATGGGCGCATGCACGCAAACACACACACACACACACTCACATATACACACACGGACACAAACACAGGTTAATTGCTCTGTCTCTGTGCAGGTGAGTGCCATCTGCGTGGAGAGTTTCAACGAGGCAGCGTACCGTCGTCTGCTAGAAGACCTGGACCGCCGGCAGGAGCGGAAGTATGTCATCGACCTGGAGCCTGAGAGACTGCAGAGCATTCTAGAACAGGTGAGTCTGAAAGACTGCAGAGCATTCTAGAACAGGTGAGTCTGAAAGACTGCAGAGCATTCTAGAACAGGTGAGTCTAAGAGACTGCAGAGCATTCTAGAACAGGTGAATCTGACAGACTGCAGAGCATTCTAGAACAGGTGAGTGATTAGAGACTGCAGAGCATTCTAGAACAGGTTAGTCTGAGAGATTGCAGAGCATTCTAGAACAGGTGAGTCTGAGAGACTGCAGATAATTCTAGAACAGGTGAGTCTGATGAAAGAGTGCAGAGCATTCTAGAACAGGTGACCACAGAACTCAACCTCACACACCCTTACACCCTCACACACACACACACACACACACAATCTCTCTCTCAGCCTTGTGGCTGTTCATGCGCATTAGTACCCCTTTCCTCCTCTCTTCACTGAACGCATCTACTGATGGCCAGACTGTGACTCTGACAGTTGAGACAGGTGTTTCTGTCTGCCTCTTCTCTGCTGCTGTCACCTTTGACCCCAGCTCCAGGGTAACGTCTCATTGGTCAGCCATCTGTCACTACTTCCCTGTGCATGCATCATTTCCTCTTCTGGCCAGGTCTCCCTTCCTGTCTACTGGTCTGACAAATATGGGCAGACACACACTAGCAGCTACACGCACACACACAAACACACACACACACACCTGTGCGGTGGTCTGCCCAGGAACAGCTGGCTCAGTAGTATTGGCATGGATGGCATCATCAGTCTGACAGAGACTGCTCTGTTTCTGTTTGTTTCTCTCTCTCTCTCTCTCTCTCTCTCTCTCTCTCTCTCTCTCTCTCTCTCTCTCTCTCTCTCTCTCTCTCTCTCTCTCTCTCTCTCTCTCTCTCTCTCTCTCTCTCTCTCTCTCTCTCTCTCTATACCTCTACCAGGATAGCCATTCAATTTCTTCTCTTCTTTTCTCCCCTCTCATCTCCTTTCTTTCTCCCCTCTTCTCCTCCTCTATTTTCCTCTTCTCTTCCTCTCTTTATTCAGGCTGTTAGTGTGGGGAAACATGTCAAAGGCTACCATTACATCTTGGCCAACCTGGTAAGTCTGTGTGTGCCTTCTTAAGAGTGCATCCCAACAGTCTAAAGTGGTTTCCTTTCCTTGTCTGCTCCGCTCCTGCTCTCCTTCATCTGTGCTAACATGAACCAACTGAACAAGCGAAAACAAATACCCCTGTCCCTATCCACATGATGTGTTTTTTAGATTAGTGCAGATGAAAGAGAGGAGATGAGGATGAGGAGAGGAAGGGGGAAGGTTGTGGTATGTACAGAGGGGTTCAGGCAGGTGGCTGTGGTTTACCTTGTCTATGAGGAAAATGTGAGTCAACTCTGAGCCAGACAGACAGACCCATGCCTTTGTGAGGAGAACGGTTTGAAGGCACTTCAGACAGTGCATTCCCTGTCACTCTTCGTCCCCCACTCTCTCTCTCTCTCTAGCTTGGGAAGAGAAGGTACATCCCTGTCTCAGAGAGTTCATGTTCAGGCTTGGCAGGCCAGGTTAATCTTCAAATGCAGTTGCGCCTAACACCCCTCTCTCTCTCTCTCTCTCTCTCTCTCTCTCTCTCTCTCTCCCTCTCTCCCTTTCTTCCTCCCCTGTCTCTCTCCCCTCCAGGGTTTTAAAGACATATCTCTAGAGAGGTTTATGCATGGTGGGGCTAACGTCACAGGGTTCCAGTTGGTTGACTTCAGTAAGCCCATGGTCCTCAAACTGATGCAGCGCTGGAACAAACTGGACCAGAGAGAGTACCCAGGCTCTGACATCCCACCCAAGGTACACACATGCGCACACACTCACACACTGCTGGGAGAGGATTCTAGAATCCTCTTGGAGATGAAACTATTTCCTCCTGTCACAGCTCTTTAGCCAATCAGACTGTGACTGAGAGGCAGCAGGAAACACTCCGATGCTGTTAGACACAGAATGGCAGAGAGCACACTTCCATAGTGTCCCCACACCTCTATCTTCTCTCTCTCTCTCTCTCTCTCTCTCTCTCTCTCTCTCTCTCTCTCTCTCTCTCTCTCTCTCTCTCTCTCTCTCTCTCTCTCTCTCTCTCTCTCTCTCTCTCTCTCTCTCAATTCAATTCAATTCAATTCAATTCAAAGGGCTTTATTGCCATGGGAAACATATGTTTACATTGCCAAAGCAAGTGGAATAGATAATAAACAAACGTGAAATAAACAATCAAAAATGAACAGCAAACATTACACTCACAAAAGTACCAAAGATATTGAGACATTTCAATGTCATATTATGTGCAAATGGTTAAAGTACAAAAGCAAAAAATAAATAAACATAAATATGGGATGTATTTACAGTGGTGTTTGTTCTTCACTGGTTGCCCTTTTCTTGTGGCAACAGGTCACAAATCTTACTGCTGTGATGGCACACTGTGGTATTTCACCCAATATATATGGGAGTTTACCAAAATTGGATTTGTTTTCGAATTCATTGTGGGTCTGTGTAATCTGAGGGAAATATGTGTGGAAGTGCAGCTCAGTTTCCACCTCATTTTGTGGGCAGTGTGCACATAGCCTATCTTCTCAATAGCAAGGATATGCTCACTGAGTCTGTACATAGTCAAAGCTTTCCTTAAGTTTGGGTCAGTCACAGTGGTCAGGTATTCTGCCACTGTGTACTCTCTGATTAGGGCCAAATAGCATTCTAGTTTGCTCAGTTTTTTTGTTAATTCTTTCCAATGTGTCAAGTATAATTATCTTTTTTTTTTCTCATGATTTGGTTGGGTCTAATTGTGTTGCTGTCCTGGGGCTCTATGGGGTCTGTTTGTGTTTGTGAACAGAGTCCCAGGACCAGCTTGCTTAGGGGACTCTTCTCCAGGTTCATCTCTCTGTAGATGATGGCTTTGTTATGGAAGGTTTGGGAATCGCTTCCTTTTAGGTGGTTGTAGAATTTAACATCTCTTTTCTGGATTTTGATTATTAGTGGGTATCGGCCTAATTCTGCTTGGCATGCATTATTTGGTGTTTTACATTGTACACCGAGGATCTTTTTTCACAAGTCTGCATGCAGAGTCTCAATTTGGTGTTTGTCCCATTTTGTGAATTCTTGGTTGGTGAGCGGACCCCAGACCTCACAACCATAAAGGGCAATGGGTTCTATAACTGATTCAAGTATTTTTAGCCAGATCCTAATTGGTATTTCGAATTTTATGTTCCTTTTGATGTCATAGAAGGCCCTTCTTGCCTTGTCTCTCAGATCGTTCACAGCTTTGTGGAAGTTACCTGTGGCGCTGATGTTTAGGCCGAGGTATGTATAGTTTTTTGTGTGCTCTAGGGCAATGGCGTCTAGATAGAATTTGTTTTCTGGAACACCATTATTTTTCTCTTACTGAGATTTACTGTCAGGGCCCAGGTCTGACAGAATCTGTGCAGAAGACCTAGGTGCTGCTATAGGCCGTCCATGGTTGGGGACAGAAGCAGCAGATCATCAGCAAAGAGTAGACATTTGACTTCAGATTCAAGTAGGGTGAGACCGGGTGCTGCAGACTGTTCTAGTGCCCTCGCAAATTTGTTGATATACAGCGCATTCGGAAAGTATTCAGACCTTTTGACTTTTTCCACATTTTGTTAAGTTACAGCCATATTCTAAAATGGATTAAATTGTTCCCCCCCCCCCCCTCATCAATCTACACACAATACCCCATAATGACAGAGCCAAAACAGGTTTTTATAAAAAATTTATATTGTAAAAAACAACAACTGAAATATCACATTTACATAAGTATTCAGACTCTTTACTCAGTTCTTTGTTGAACCACCTTTGGCAGCGATTACAGCCTTGAGTCTTCTTGGGTATGATGCTACAAGCTTGGCACACCTGTATTTGGAGAGTTTCTCCCATTCTTCTCTGCAGATCCTCTTAAGCTGTCAGGTTGGATGGGGAGCTTTGCTACACAGCTATTTTCAGGTCTCTCCAGAGATGTTCGATCGGGTTCAAGTCCGGGCTCTGACTGGGCAACACAAGGACATTCAGAGACTTGTCCCGAAGCCACTCCTTTGTTGTCTTGGCTGTGTGCTTAGGGTCGTTGTCTTGTTGGAAGCTGAACCTTCACCCCAGTCTGAGGTCCTGACCGCTCTGGAGCAAGTTTTCATCACGGATCTCTCTGTGCTTTGCGCCGTTCATCTTTCCCTCGATCCTGACTAGTCTCCCAGTCCCTGCTGCTAAAAAACATCTCCACAGCATGATGCTGCCACCACCATGCTTCACCGTAGGAATGGTGCCAGGTTTCCTCCAGACGTGACGCTTGGCATTCAGGCCAAAGAGTTCATTTGGTTTCATCAGACCAGATCATTTTGTTTCTCATGATCTGAGAGTCCTTTAGGTGCCTTTTGAAAAACTCCAAGCGGGCTGTCATGTGTGTTTTAATGAGCAGTGGCTTCCATCTGGCCACTCTACCATAAAGGCCTGATTGGTGGAGTGCTGCAGAGATGGTTGTCCATCTGGAAGGTTCTCCCATCTCCACAGAGGAACTCTGGAGCTCTGTCAGAGTGACAATCGGGTCCAATCGTCACCTTCCTGACCAAGGCCCTTCTGCCCCGATTACTCAGTTTGGCCAGGCGGCCAGATCTAGGAAGTCTTGGTGGTTCCTAACTTCTTCCATTTAAGAATGATGCAGGCCACTGTGTTCTTTGGGACCTTCAATGCTGCAGAAATGTTTTGGTACCCTTCCCCAGATCTGTGCCTCAACACAATCCTGTCTCAGAGCTCTACGGACAATATCTTCGACCTCATAGCTTGGGTTTTGCTCTGACATGCACTGTCAACTGTGCGATCTTATATAGACAGGTGTGTGCCTTTCCAAATCATGTCCAATCAATAGATTTTACCACAGGTGGACTCCAGCTGGATGCACCTGAGCTCAATTTCGAGTCTCATAGCAAAAGGTCTGACTACTTATGTAGATAAGGTATTTCTGTTTATTATTTTTTATACATAACAAAAAAAATCTAAAACCTGTTTTTGTTTTGTCATTATGGGGTATTGTGTGTAGATTGATGAATAAGGCTGTAACGTAACAAAATGTGGGAAAAGGGAAGGGGTCTGAATACTTTCCGAATGCACTGTGTATGTTGCAGAGGGTGGGGCTCAAACTGAATCCCTGTGTTTTTTTGCAAATTTTTACCGCACACTTGTTGTTTGTGTACCTGGATATTATAATGTTGTATGGTTTTCCCCCCAACACCGCTTTCCATCAATTTGTATAGCATACCCTCATGCCAAATTGAGTCAAAAGCTTTTTTGAAATCAACAAAGCATGAGAAGACTTTGCCTTTGTTTTGGTTTGTTTGTTTGTCAATTAGGGTGTGCAGGTTGAATATTTGGTCTGTAATATGTGGTCTGTCGTACGGTACTTTGGTAAAAAGCCAATTTTACATTTGCTCAGTACATTATTTTCACTGAGGAAATGTACGTGTCACGCCCTGGCTCTGGGGACTCTTATATGTTGAGCCAGGGTGTGGATTTTCTATGTGTGATTTTCTATGTTGTGTTCTAGTTCGTGTTTTCTATGTTGGCCAGGGTGGTTCCCAATCAGAGGAAGCTGATTCTCGTTGTCTCTGATTGGGAACCATACTTAGGCAGCCTGTTGGCACTAGTTATTTGTGGGATCTTGTTCCGGAAGGTTTGTGTTGGTGTTATTTAACCTAGGACTTCACGTATCGTTTGGTTTGTTGTTTTTGTTCGTGTTGTGGTGTACTTAAATAAAAGATGTACGCATATCACGCTGCGCCTTGGTCCGCTGTTTATAACGATCGTGACAGTACGAGTCTGCTGTTAATGATAAGGATAATTTCCCCAAGGTTGCTGTTGACACATACTGTATCCCACGGTAGTTATTGGGGTCAAATTTGTCTCCACCTTTGTGGATTGGAGTGATCAGTCCTTGGGTCCAAATATTGGGAAGATGCCAGAGCTGAGGATGATGTTAAAGAGTTTAAGTATAGCCAATTGGAATTTGTGGTCTGGATACCAGCAACACCAAAGGCCTTTTTGGGTTGGAGGGTTTGTATCTTGTCCTGTAGTTCATTCAATGTAACTGGGGAATCCAGTGTGTTCTGGTAGTCTTTAATAGTTGATTCTAAGATGTGTATTTTATCATGTAAACTCAGCAAAATCATGTAAACTCAGGACCCTGTCTTTCAATGATAATTTGTAAAAATTAAAATAACTTCACAGATCTTCATTGTAAAGGGTTTAAACACAGTTTCCCATGCTTGTTCAGTGAACCATAAACAATTAATGAACATGCACCTGTGGAACGGTCGTTAAGACACTAACAGCTTACAGACGGTAGGCAATTGAGGTCACAGTTATGAAAACTTAGGACACTAAAGAGGCCTTTCTACTGACTCTGAAAAACACCAAAAGAAAGATGCCCAGGGTCCCTGCTCATCTTCGTGAACGTGCCTTAGGCATGCTGCAAGGAGGCAGATGTGGCCAGGGCAATAAATTGCAACGTCTGTACTGTGAGACGCCTAAGACAGCGCTACAGGGAGACAGGACGGACAGCTGATCATCCTCACAGTGGCAGACCACGTGTAACAACACCTGCACAGGATCGGTACATCTGAACATCACACCTGCGGGACAGGTACAAGATGGCAACAACAACTGCCCGAGTTACACCAGGAACGCACAATCCCTCCATCAGTACTCAGACTGTCTGCAATAGGCTGAGAGAGGCTGGACTGAGGGCTTGTAGGCCTGTTGTAAGGCAGGTCCTCACCAGACATCACCGGCAACAATGTCGCCTATGGGCACAAACCCACCATCACTGGACCAGACAGGACTGGCAGAAAGTGCTCTTCACTGACGAGTCGCAGTTTTTTCTCAACAGGGGTGATGGTCGGATTCGCTCGATTTGGAGGTGGAGGGTCCATCATGGTCTGGAGTGGTGTGTCACAGCATCATCGGACTGAGCTTGTTGTCATTGCAGGCAATCTCAACGCTGTGCGTTACAGGGAAGACATCCTCCTCCCTCATGTGGTACATTTCCTGCAGGCTCATCCTGACATGACCCTCCAGCATGACAATGCCACCAGCCATACTGCTCGTTCTGTGCGTGATTTCCTGCAAGACAGGAATGTCAGTGTTCTGCCATGGCCAGCGAAGAGCCCGGATCTCAATCCCATTGAGCACGTCTGGGACCTGTTGGTTCGGAGGGCGAGGACTAGGGCCATTCCCCCCAGAAATGTCCGGGAACTTGCAGGTGCCTTGGTGGAAGAGTGTGGTAACATCTCACAGCAAGAACTGGCAAATCTGGTGCAGTCCATGAGGAGGAGATGCACTGCAGTACTTAATGCAGCTGGTGGCCACACCAGATTACTGACTGTTACTTTTGATTTTGACCCCCCCTTTGTTCAGGGACACATTATTCAAATGTCTGTGGAACTTGTTCAGTTTATGTCTCAGTTGTTGAATTTTGTTATGTTCATACAAATATTTACACATGTTAAGTTTGCTGAAAATAAACGCAGTTGACAGTGAGAGGACGTTTCTTTTTTTACTGAGTATCTGTTCTTTGTTCTTTGTTTTAGAGCCAAAAAGAGATTGGAGAAGTGGTTTATCAACACATCTCAGTTTTGGACAGATTACTCTTCGTGATGTTGTTGGTTTAGTGTGTTCCAATTTCCCCAGAAGCGGTTAGATTCTATGGATTCTTCAATTACATTGAGCTGATTTCTGACATGCTGTTCCTTCTTTTTCCGTTGTGTATTTCTGTATTGTTTTAGTGATTCACCATAGTGAAGGCGGAGGCTCAGGTTTTCTGGGTCTCTATGTTTTTGGTTGGATAGGTTTCTCAATTTATTTCTTAGGTTTTTATATTCTTCATCAAACCATTTGTCATTGTTGTTAACTTTCTTAGGTTGTCTGTTTGACATTTTTTGATTTGATAGGGAAGCTGAATGTTCAAATATGCTGTTTAGGTTTTCTACTGCCAAGTTTACACCTTCAGTCTCTCTCTCTCCATATCTCCATAGTTGTCCATCTCAGCATTAAATATTCATCAAGCACGCTTTGCCCTAGGATGACTAGTTCTGCCCTAGGATGACTAGCCCTGCCCTAGGATGACTAGCCCTGCCCTAGGATGACTAGCCCTGCCCTAGGATGACTAGCCCTGTCCTAGGATGACTAGCCCTGCCCTAGGATGACTAGCCCTGTCCTAGGATGACTAGCCCTGCCCTAGGAGGACTAGCCCTGCCCTAGGATGACTAGCCCTGCCCTAGGATGACTAGCCCTGTCCTAGGATGACTAGCCCTGCCCTAGGATGACTAGCCCTGCCCTAGGAGGACTAGCCCTGCCCTAGGATGACTAGCCCTGCCCTAGGAGGACTAGCCCTGTCCTAGGATGACTAGCCCTGTCCTAGGATGACTAGCCCTGCCCTAGGAGGACTAGCCCTGTCCTAGGATGACTAGCCCTGTCCTAGGATGACTAGCCCTGCCCTAGGAGGACTAGCCCTGCCCTAGGATGACTAGCCCTGTCCTAGGATGACTAGCCCTGCCCTAGGAGGACTAGCCCTGTCCTAGGATGACTAGCCCTGTCCTAGGATGACTAGCCCTGCCCTAGGATGACTAGCCCTGCCCTAGGATGACTAGCCCTGCCCTAGGATGACTAGCCCTGCCCTAGGATGACTAGCCCTGTCCTAGGATGACTAGCCCTGCCCTAGGATGACTAGCCCTGCCCTAGGATGACTAGCCCTGTCCTAGGATGACTAGCCCTGTCCTAGGATGACTAGCCCTGCCCTAGGATGACTAGCCCTGCCCTAGGAGGACTAGCCCTGTCCTAGGATGACTAGCCCTGCCCTAGGATGACTAGCCCTGCCCTAGGAGGACTAGCCCTGTCCTAGGATGACTAGCCCTGCCCTAGGAGGACTAGCCCTGTCCTAGGATGACTAGCCCTGTCCTAGGATGACTAGCCCTGTCCTAGGATGACTAGCCCTGCCCTAGGAGGACTAGCCCTGCCCTAGGATGACTAGCCCTGCCCTAGGATGACTAGCCCTGCCCTAGGAGGACTAGCCCTGCCCTAGGATGACTCTCTCTCTTTCTCTGTCTGTCGTTCTCTGTTCTCTCTCTATATATCTGTTCTCTGTCTCTTTCTCTCTGACTGACTTTCTCTCTCTCTCTAGTTCCCCTGCCCTAGGATGACTAGCCCTGCCCTAGGAGGACTAGCCCTGTCCTAGGATGACTAGCCCTGCCCTAGGAGGACTAGCCCTGTCCTAGGATGACTAGCCCTGTCCTAGGATCCTGCAGGTTCATGCTCTACAACATTCGGAGAGTGCGACCCTGCCTTACACAGGAAGTGGCGCAGGTCCTGGTCCAGGCACTTGTCATCTCCCGTCTGGACTACTGCAACTCGCTGTTGGCTGGGCTCCCTGCCTGTGCCATTAAACCCCTACAACTCATCCAGAATGCCGCAGCCCGTCTGGTGTTCAACCTTCCCAAGTTCTCTCACGTCACCCCCCTCCTCCGCACACTCCACTGGCTTCCAGTTGAAGCTCGCATCCGCTACAAGACCATGGTGCTTGCCTATGGAGCAGTGAGGGGAACGGCACCTCTGTACCTTCAGGCTCTGATCAGTCCCTACACCCAAACGAGGACATTGCGTTCATCCACCTCTGGCCTACTGGCTCCCCTTCCTCTGCGGAAGCATAGCTCCCGCTCAGCCCAGTCAAAACTGTTCGCTGCTCTGGCACCCCAATGGTGGAACAAGCTCCCTCACGACGCCAGGACAGCGGAGTCACTCACCACCTTCCGGAGAAATTTGAAACCCCACCTCTTTAAGGAATACCTGGGATAGGATAAAGTATTCCTTCTAACCCCCCCCCCCCCCCCCCCAAATTGTAAAGTGGTTATCCCACTGGCTATAGGGTGAACGCACCAATTTGTGAGTCGCTCTGGCTAAGAGCGTCTGCTAAATGACGTTAATGTGCCCTTGAGCAAGGCACTTAACCCTAATTGCTCCTGTAAGTCGCTCTGGTTAAGAGCGTCTGCTAAATGACTAAAATGTAAATGTAAATGTTCTCTGTTCTGTCTGTCTGTCTGTCTGTCCTCTCTCTCTCTTTCTTGCTCTTTCTCTCCTTCTCTCCCTCTCTCTCTCCGCCTGTTCTCTCTCCCAAAGTCTGGCTGTTATTTTCTCTCTCTCTCTGTGATAGCTTCAGAATGGTGTGAAATGTTTCACCCTGATATTGCTGTTAATTGTCTATCCTAATTTTCATATTTACATGATAAATCCTTGTTAAAGGATGGTCTTCCACTGATGAGTGTACACAATCTCAGATCCTAGTTAGTGTGAGTGTGTTTGTGTGTTTGTGTGGGTGTGGGTGTGTGGGTGTGTGTAAGGAAGTGGCGGTCAGTGCTGTTTAAGATGAGGGAGGACGATTTTCTTTCATGAGCATGGCCATATTTCTATTACAGCATATTGGATGACTCTCATTCATATTCCATTCACCCAGTTCAATGTAACAGCGATAGGTTTAAGCTACTACATGATACTCTAACTTTCCCTATACCCATCATGAGGTTGGTACAACCTAGCCTATGAAAGAAAGTTTACAATGTAGGTGCACACAGGTCTAGAGACAAATTTGAGGTGGCAGACAGTGACACATGGACAGACAGTGACATTCAATACTGCCTTGCACACTCTTGCCTGCATCTAGCTGATATTGGGTGTAATCGTTAGTCCAACAGTTGCAAATGAGAGTTTCTATTGGACAAATTCAGGTGTGTTTATCTCCGTTTTGTTCCGTTTAAGAACGTTTTTCAACGGAATTGGCAGAATGAATACACACCTGATCACGCATAAACAGAGTTCACTTTCATAGCAGCCACATTGTATTCCTTCTCAGATCTATCTACGCGCTGTCCTCCTCTCACCTCTTCCCTTCACTTGTGGACTTCAATGCACAACACATCAGCTGTATGTGACCAGGCGAAAAAAACTTTCCAAGCCAAACCATATCGTAACCGCTACACACAGCCTACATCATTGTCACCATATTAGCTAAAGTAACGTCATAGTCAGCATAGCTAATAGAACTAACGTGTTAGTAAACCCGCTACAACTATGCAGTATCGTTAGTGTACAGTCAGTAAGCAGTTACACCAGTGGGCCCCGGTGGCAATAAATTAGTAATACCAAAAGCTTACCTTGACTGGGAAGAGTTCCAGTGTTGTGTTAGAAAGTCATAGCCAGCTAGCTAACATAGCATCCCTCTGAGCAGGGTGTTTCAGTAGGCTAAACTAGCTAGCTGCATTTGCTAGCTAAGTAAGTGAAACTGAAAGTGAAAGAAAATGACAATGTCTCTCTCTCTCTAGTTCTCTCTTGCTTCTCCTTCATTTTGGAATAAATTAATTTGTTCAACACATTTTATACACTGCAGTGCTAGCTAGCTGTAGCTTATGCTTTCAGTACTAGATTCATTTTCTGATCCTTTGATTGGGTGGACAACATGTCAGTTCATGCTGAAAGAGCTCTGATAGGCTGGAGGACGTCCTCCGGAAGTTGTCATAATTACTGTGTAAGTCCATGGAAGGGGGTGAGACCCATGAGCCTCCTAGGTTTTGTGTTGAAGTCAATGCACCCAGAGTAGGACGGAAGCTAGCTGTCCTCCGGCTACACCATGGTGCTACCCTACAGAGTGCTGTTGAGGCTACTGTAAAACTTATTTGCAAAATAGTGTGTTTTAATCAGTGATTATATTTAGTATAGTTTTATCTAAAAAATGATAACTTACAATTTACATTTTTATGAAATTCACTGAGGAGGATGGTCCTCCCCTTCCTCCTCTGTGGAGCCTCCACTGGTGTAAGGGTAGTGAGATTTTGAGTTTGTCATTCTCAGCATTATGTTCCTGGAATACGCTATGAAACCAAATGTAATTCGCTAACATCAAACCATTATTGGAGACACCTTTCAAGACCAAAATAACTAACATTTCACTATTCTGTCAGCAGGATACAGATGCTTATGGCATTAGTAAATGACAAGGACCTTTCTGTACAATTAAATGGGCAGCTTTATGTATTAACATCAATCACAATCAATTAGAATGTTAGAACAAAGAATAGGGTGTGTTTTATTAATACCTGTCAAAGAGTATGAAGACTTCCAGTGTCACAGTAGAACAAGCACGTCGGTTCTCAAAGAAAGATAGAAGAAAGCCTTGAGAAAAGATGAAGGGAAGATCGTGAAAACGACATGGTTTATAACCACCCCAACACACACTGAGTGAGTAAGAAAAGAGAGACATGTCAGAGTGACACAGACCTGATGTGAAGTGTGTCCCCTGAGTTTATCATCACCTCATCTTTCCTCTCCTCTCCTCCTCTCCTCCTTTCCTCATCTCCTCCTCTCCTCCTCTCCTCCTCTCCTTCTCTCCTCCTCTCCTCCTTTCCTCCTCTCCTCCTCTCCTCTATCAGTTTGGTCTCTGTCTTGATGTGAATGTTTCCTGCTGTGGGTTTGACGGCCTCTGTAGCAACGTGTGTGTGTGTGTGTGTTGATGTGAGGGCTCCCTGCTGTGTGTGTATTGCTGTGTGTCTTACGTGTTACAGAGCTGTCAGTCAGATAAACCTCCTCTGAAGACCTCCTCATCTCTCTCTTAAATCATTATCTTACTGCCGCAGATGGGTCTCATGGGGATCCATTCATTCACATAGATGGGACTTATTTCATAAATTTCTAATCCAGTGGATTGTCAAGAGAGGAACCCACAGCATGAAACAGGCATTTCCTGATTCCAAAAACAGGAATCATCAAGTCTATTATAGGCGCTACGCTGTTGATGTAAAATAATCTAATCTAATCCTTACTTTCTCCCTCCTCCTCCTCCTCCGCCTCCCCCTCCTCCTCCTCCTCTTCCCTCTCCTCTCTCCCCAGTACACCTCGTCTCTGACGTATGATGGAGTGTTGGTGATGGCCGAGGCCTTTAGGAACCTGCGTCGTCAGAAGATTGACATCTCCCGTAGAGGAAATGCTGGAGACTGTCTGGCCAACCCCGCTGCTCCCTGGAACCAGGGCATAGACATGGAACGCACACTCAAACAGGTATTCTATGGTTGTATGTGTTCCTTATTGTTCTCCGTTCTGACCTGTGTTCTCTGTTGTCCTGTCTCCAGGTGCGTATCCAGGGTCTAACAGGCAACATCCAGTTTGACCACTATGGCCGCAGAGTCAACTACACCATGGACGTGTTTGAACTGAAGAGCAACGGACCACAACGGGTAGGAATAGACACACAGGCATGTTGGAGAAATGATTTTGGTTGTATGAAAATACAGTTTTGTCTGGTTTTAACCCCTCCCCTGCCTCTCTCAGATTGGCTACTGGAACGACATTGACAAACTGGTTCTGGTCCAGAATGAGGTGCTGTTGTCCAATGACAGCACAAACATTGAGAACAGAACAGTCGTCGTGACAACTATCATGGTAATGTACTCCTCTGGCTCCTCTCCTTTCCTCAAACACACAGAGGATGCATCCCAACGGTCTAAAGTGGCTTTCTATCCTCAAACTCCTGTCCATCTGTACTGATATGAAACAACTGGACAGGTGGAAAGTCAATGTGCTGTAGGAATCGACTTTGCTGTTTCTCAAATCAGTACAGATAACAGAGAGGAGGATTTGTTTCACTGTTGAGATGCCACATTGAAGCAGAGAGCAGAGCACCCACAGTGCCTCTAGTGGTCAGAGCTGGTAGTGACACCCGTGTGTTTGACAGATCAGTGTCCCTAAGGGTATTGTAGCAGTACCAGGTCATAGTGAGGGAGGTTTGAGTAGGGGGCTGTACGAGAGGAATCCGACTTGTCACTGGCAGGTTGTCTTTATATTTATTTTGTTTTCATTGACGTCACCTGTCAAGTGTGAAAAGAGAGAGGAGTTTTAGTCCTTTTACCTTTTACCGTGTGTCGTCCCCCCCCCCCACTCTCTATCACTCTCTTTCCCCCTTTCTCTCTCCCTCCCTCCCCCACTCTCTCTCTCTCTCTCTCTCTTTCTCTCTCTCCCTCCCTCCCCCTCTCCCTCTCTCTCTCTCCTTTCCTCCCTCTTTCTCTCTCTCTCTCCCTCCCTCCCCATCTCCCTCTTTCTCTCTCTCTCCTTCCCTCCCCCTCTCCCTCTTTCTCTCTCTCTCTCTCCCTCCCTCCCCCTCTCCCTCGTTCTCTCTCTCCCTCCCCCTCTTTCTCTCTCTCTCCCCCTCTCCCTCTTTCTCTCTCTCCCTCCCTCCCCCTCTCCCTCTTTCTCTCTCTCCCTCCCTCCCGCTCTCCCTCTCCCTCTTTCTCTCTCTGGATGATCTATGCCCCTGTCAGATGGCCATGGCTATTGTTACCTCAGCCACCTCCTCCTCTTTGCAGCCACTGATGAGGAAGCGTCTGTTACAACACTGAAGACTTACAGTAAAGACAGACAGACAGACAGACAGACAGACAGACAGACAGACAGACAGACAGACAGACAGACAGACAGACAGACAGACAGACAGACAGACGGGAGATGGACTCACAGAAGGACTCTCAGACTGACATACAGAGCCACTGAGACTCTAGCTCTCTATCGCTCTGTAATTCTATTGCTGCGGCATTGAGAGATGAGGAATCCCAGGAAGACCTACAGATGAAGCGCCCGGCAGGCCACTCTATCTATCTATCTATCTATCTATCTATCTATCTATCTATCTATCTATCTATCTATCTATCTATCTATCTATCTATCTATCTATCTATCTATCTATCTATCTATCTATCTATCTATCTATCTATCTATCTATCTATCTATCTATCTATCTATCTATCTATCTATCTATCTGTCTGTCTGTCTGTCTGTCTGTCTGTCTGTCTGTCTGTCTGTCTGTCTGTCTGTCTGTCTGTCTGTCTGTCTGTCTGTCTGTCTGTCTGTCTGTCTGTCTGTCTGTCTGTCTGTCTGTCTGTCTGTCTGTCTGTCTGTCTGTCTGTCTATCTATCTATCATTCTGCTTTGTCATGACTTCGCTTTTTCTTCTCTGTGCGGGAACTGTAGACACAGGATGGAGTACAAAAACTTTGAATATTTTGGGAATAATTTTTTTGGATGTTCTGGGAATTTGAAAGGAATTGTGTCCCATAATGGTTAGAAAAAGACACACACAGATTAGACAGGAGCCAGTGGTACAGAAACACACACAGATTAGACAGGAGCCAGTGGTACAGAAACACACACAGATTAGACAGGGGCCAGTGGTACAGAAACACACACAGATCAGACAGGAGCCAGTGGTACAGAAACACACACAGATTAGACAGGAGCCAGTGGTACAGAAACACACACAGATCAGACAGGAGCCAGTGGTACAGAAACACACACAGATCAGACAGGAGCCAGTGGTACAGAAACACACACAGATTAGACAGGGGCCAGTCGTACAGAAACACACACAGATCAGACAGGGGCCAGTGGTACAGAAACACACACAGATTAGACAGGGGCCAGTCGTACAGAAACACACACACCCACACAGAGTGCATACACCATCACACACACATTCACACACTGCATACTGTCTCACAGATGCATACACAAACATACCCCAACACACTGACATAATCACAGTCTCACACAAACACACCCTGACAGTCACAAAAACACAATCTCAAAGTGTATGCATGCATAGACACACCCTCACTTAGAGAGACCAGAAGTCCCCACAAGAATAGTAAACGAACAAAAAATTTGACCAACTGGGGATATTTTGTTAGTCCCCTCGATGTCAAATGCTATTTCTAGGGGGTTTAGGGTTAATGTTAGAATTAGTGTTAGGGTTAGAATTACGTTAAGGGTTAGGGTTAGGGTTAGGATCTAAGGTTAGGTTTAGGGTTAGGAGCTAGGGTTAGGTTGAGGTTTAGGGTTAAGGTTAGGTTTTTTGGTTAAGTTTAGGGTTAGGGTTAGGGATAGGTTAAGGGTAAGAGTATGGGTTTGGGTTAGGTTTAGGGTTAGGTGTTAAGGAAAACATAGGATTTTGAATGGGACTGAATTGTGTGTCCCCACAAGGTTAGCTGTACAAGACTGTGTGTGTGTGTGTGTGTGTGCGTTTGTGTGTGTGTGTGTGTGTGTGTGTGTGTGCGTTTGTGTGTGTGTGTGTGCCATATGCAACGTGTTGTCTGTGATAGCTGTATTTAATGTTCCATCACCATGAGGACATGCCTGTTAGCCCCCACTGCTGACAGTCATCACATGACATCACGCCCCCAGCAGATAGCAGCTCCAGGTATTCTGTTTCTATGGTGTTCTCTAAAGACTGCACCAGGGCTGCTGTTACTGCATGGTCTCCCATCATCTATCATTCATCTACATTGTTCTAGTCTAGATGCATATGCAGCTAAAGTCTGTTGTCCCTGATGTTGAAGTTTGAGGAACTCTGGTAAACTTATCATGTTGTACTGGATATTGTATTGGCTGGCTGCATAATTAAGATCATGGTTGCGGTCAGTTCCATTTTTAATTCGGGTCAATTCATAAAGTAAATCAAATTCCAATTCTACATTTTTCAAATTGAACATTTCCTGAATTGACTGGAATTTAAATGGAATTGACCCCAACCCTGATTATGAGCTCTCTCTTTATGGTGCATCTGTTGTTGTTCCACTGTTTCATGTCTTATCTATCTGAACCCTTCACCACTAAAGCCTCTCTCCTCTCTTTTCTCATTCACCCCTTTACCCACTCTTCTCCCCCATAAAACCACTCTCTCTCTCTTGCCATCTCTCAGCCCTCTCCTTCCTCCCTCCTCTCTCCCTCTTCCATTCTCATGTAAGACATCTGACGTGTTGTTCAGCATCAGAGAAACACTTTGTTCAAACACACGCCCAGTATCCCTCCATGCACCTGCCCCGAGACTAAACACACCGCAGTAACACACACACAGACACACACACACTGTGACAAAAGAGTCTGCTACAAACTGATAACAAAACTTAAAGGGATTTAAACATGAAGTAACCCACTGTTGGTAATACCCCCAGCGGTTTGTGTGTTTGTGCATGTGTACTATCACTGCTAAACGCTCTACAAAGTCATCTATTCTGATGTCAAACTGTTTGCCTTATAATATGCTAATATTTTCAGAAAAGTGAGGCAGGGTTAGGAAGAGACTAATCCAGAGTCATAAGTAGACCAAAATCAAGCTGAGCCAATGTTCTATCTACACCATCTGTTCTCTAGATCCTCATGTACACTACATTACATTAGGGTTACATTTTAAGATCGTCAATTTTGTACCATCTAATAAAATGGAATAACATCTTCACAACAGATGGCATGGAATATTAACTTTTGATGGGATATGATTTTGGTATTGTCTATGCCTTTAAGACCTAACTATAGTCTGACGGTTGGAACAGCACAGCTATGTTTGGGAGAATCTCTGACTGTGTTTGTGACTTCATTAAGAGTGATTAATGTTGAGTTAATGGAGAGAGAGATCTCAGGGGCCTGCTAATGTGCTTTGACGCTTGGACAACATGTACAAATGTGACAAGATTATGCGTTAAGATAATGTACATTCTATTAATGTTTAGACACTTCATAAATGCAAATACAGTGGGGAAAAAAAGTTTTTAGTCAGCCACCAATTGTGCAAGTTCTCCCACTTAAAAAGATGAGAGAGGCCTGTAATTTTCATCATAGGTACACGTCAACTATGACAGACAAAATGAGGAAAAAAAATCCAGAAAATCACATTGTAGGATTTTTAATGAATTTATTTGCAAATTATGTTGGAAAATAAGTATTTGGTCAATAACAAAAGTTTCTCATTACTTTGTTATATACCCTTTGTTGGCAATGACACAGGTCAAACGTTTTCTGTAAGTCTTCACAAGGTTTTCACACACTGTTGCTGGTATTTTGGCCCATTCCTCCATGCATATCTCCTCTAGAGCAGTGATGTTTTGGGGCTGTCACTGGGCAACACAGACTTTCAACTCCCTCCAAAGATTTTCTATGGGGTTGAGATCTGGAGACTGGCTAGGCCACTCCAGGACCTTGAAATGCTTCTTACGAAGCCACTCCTTCTTTGCCCGGGCGGTGTGTTTGGGATCATTGTCATGTTGAAAGACCCAGCCACGTTTCATCTTCAATGCCCTTGCTGATGGAAGGAGGTTTTCACTCAAAATCTCACGATACATGGCCCCATTCATTCTTTCCTTTACACGGATCAGTCGTCCTGGTCCCTTTGCAGAAAAACAGCCCCAAAGCATGATGTTTCCACCCCCATGCTTCACAGTAGGTATGGTGTTCTTTGGATGCAACTCAGCATTCTTTGTCCTCCAAACACGACGAGTTGAGTTTTTACCAAAAAGTTCTATTTTGGTTTCATCTGACCATATGACATTCTCCCAATCCTCTTCTGGATCATCCAAATGCACTCTAGCAAACTTCAGACGGGCCTGGACATGTACTGGCTGAAGCAGGGGGACACGTCTGGCACTGCAGGATTTGAGTCCCTGGCGGCGTAGTGTGTTACTGATGGTAGGCTTTGTTACTTTGGTCCCAGCTCTCTGCAGGTCATTCACTAGGTCCCCCCGTGTGGTTCTGGGATTTTTGCTCACCGTTCTTGTGATCATTTTGACCCCACGGGGTGAGATCTTGCGTGGAGCCCCAGATCGAGGGAGATTATCAGTGGTCTTGTATGTCTTCCATTTCCTAATAATTGCTCCCACAGTTGATTTCTTCAAACCAAGCTGCTTACCTATTGCAGATTCAGTCTTCCCAGCCTGGTGCAGGTCTACAATTTTGTTTCTGGTGTCCTTTGACAGCTCTTTGGTCTTGGCCATAGTGGAGTTTGGAGTGTGACTCTTTGAGGTTGTGGACAGGTGTCTTTTATACTGATAACAAGTTCAAACAGGTGGCATTAATACAGGTAACGAGTAGAGGACAGAGGAGCCTCTTAAAGAAGAAGTTACAGGTCTGTGAGAGCCAGAAATCTTGCTTGTTTGTAGGTGACCAAATACTTATTTTCCACCATAATTTGCAAATAAATTCATTAAAAATCCTACAATGTGATTTTCTGGATTTTTTTTTCTCAATTTGTCTGTCATAGTTGACGTGTACCTATGATGAAAATTACAGGCCTCTCTCATCTTTTTAAGTGGGAGAACTTAAACAATTGGTGGCTGACTAAATAAAAATTTTCCCCACTGTATATGCACATATGCTTGATTATACCTTGAGATCCGTGTGAGTAACTCAGATATTCACACAAATCTCCCATTTACATTGACTTACAGTATACACACCTCAAGTTAGGATATAGCCCAGTATGGCTTAAGAGTTGGTACTTTTGTGATATCATTCTAGACCAATGGTATGTAACTGATACTACTTTTGGGACATCATTCTAGACCAATGGTATGTAACTGATACTGCTTTTGGGACATCATTCTAGACCAATGGTATGTGACTTTTGTGATATCATTCTAGATATGGTATGTACAGTAACTGATACAAGGTCAACGTGTAACTGATACAAGGTCAACGTGTAACTGATACAAGGTCAACGTGTAACTGATACAACGTCAACATGTAACTGATACAACGTCAACGTGTAGGAACGTCAACGTATAACTGATACAACGTCAACGTGTAACTGATACAACGTCAACGTATAACTGATACAACGTCAACGTGTAACTGATACAACGTCAACGTATAACTGATACAACGTCAACGTATAACTGATACAACGTCAACGTATAACTGATACAACGTCAACGTATAACTGATACAACGTAAACGTGTAACTGATCCAACGTCAACGTGTAATTTATCCAACGTCAACATGTAACTGATACAACGTCAACGTGTAATTTATCCGACGTTAACGTGTAACTGATACAACGTCAACGTATAACTGATACAACATCAACGTGTAACTGATACAACGTCAACGTGTAACTGATCCAACGTCGACGTGTAACTGATACAACTTCAACGTGTCTCTAAAAATGTTTTGTATTTCCCCCTTCTTTTTAATTTTGCAAAAATGTACTGTTTAATCTGATGTGACCTATTTACCTGTACGCTTTATTCTGGCAGGTTCCTTGGTGAGCCAGGGATGGAGTCTCTTGAAATGTATCCATTTCACTTGTAAATTAACATCATAAATGAAAATGTGTACATCTATTTGATTTGAAATGTATTTCATATAGTGTTTATACAGCTCTTTCAATTAATTTGATAAATGTATAAACCATTTGAAAGCCTATGAGTGTGAATACTATATTAGTTTCTTTCATTTGAATCTGGGAGTGTAATCTGTTACGTCAGAGGATTGTTCTGTAGACTAGAGGAAGGGGCCTCAGGCCTTCTACCACCTGGGTTTCTCTCTGGAACTACAAGCTCCTGATGGATGTGTGTGTCAGTCAGTGTGTGTGTGTGTGTGTGCTTGCCTGTGTGTGTGTGTGTTCTTACTGCTAATTGCTCCTGTTTGAGGTGTAAAGGTTTTCTCTCCAGACAGAGAATACAGCTTCCCTATGTATCTACCTCCAGACCTGCTCCCTCTCTGCTCTATAGCTGCTTACCTATCTCTTCTACCTTTCTGTTGTTCATTTGTTCTTTTTAAGATAGATCATCTGTGTGGAGTCAGCCTTTTTCTCCCAGAGGAGATGCTCAGTCTTAGAGGGAAGCCAGGGAACATAAACTTGGCACCAGTCACAGACCATGAGGATATAACACACTGCTCCTCACACCGTGGCCTTTTAAAATGTGCTGTATTATTTTATTTGGTTGCCATAAAATGTATCTTCTGTCTCCATCACTGTAATCCTGTCATCCAGTGGAGGCTTTGGCGCTGGCTGTATGCCATTCAAAAAGCTCCTCCGTCTCCAGAAGAAATCCCTGATTTGTTAGTCAGTGGTCAGTGTGAGTTGATTGGTCAGTTTGACCTCCCCGCTCCCCCCTCTCTGTCTCTGATTGGTGTGTTTGTGGGTGTAGGAGGGTCCATATGTGATGCTGAAGAAGAACTGGGAGATGTTTGAGGGGAATGACCAGTTCGAGGGCTACTGCGTGGACTTGGCCTCAGAGATCGCCAAACACATCGGCATCAAGTACAAGATTGCCATCGTCCCCGACGGCAAATACGGAGCCAGAGACCCCGAGACCAAGATCTGGAACGGCATGGTGGGAGAACTGGTCTATGGGGTAAGGATGGAGGGAAGGAGGGAGGGATATATAGAATTTACATCTTATCTTTGGAGTTTGATGTAATTATACTTATCTTTGGGGTTAGGAGAGTTAGATACTACTAAACAAAGTGAATCTATATTGTTAGATACTGTCAAAGTACTTTTTAATAGACAGACAAGCCATTTAAAAAATGTTTTAAATTAAGCAGGGGCTGCAGCACCCACAGCACCCCTACCTCCCACATCATAAAGCAATGTTTCTTAATCCTGGTCCTGGGGACCCAAAGGGATACATTTAGTTTTTGCCCAATCACTACAGACCTGATTCCACTAATGAACTGATCATCAAACCTTTCATTAGTGGAATCAGGTGTGTAGTGCTAGGCCAAAAACAAACATGTACACCCTGTGTCCCCAGGACCAGGATAAAGAAACACTGTCCTAAAGAACACAAACTGTGATCATGATCTCTCAGAATAGTTAGTCTTTAACATGGTTCTCTAACCCAGGGGTGGTAAAATATCTATCCAATATCCCGCTGCATTGAAAATATGGTACTGTAACTGACCCTGTGTATATATACAGAACACACCTTGGGCTGGGGACAATAAAAGGCCACTATTAAATGTGCAGTTTTGTCACACAACAAAATGCCACTGATGTCTCAAGTTTTGAGGGAGCGTGCAATTGGCAAAGTGACTGGAATGTCCACTAGAGCTGTTGCCAGAGAATTTAATGTTCATTTATCTACCATAAACCGCCTCCAACGTCGTTTAAGAGAATTTGGCAGTACGTCCAAACAGGCTCACAACCGCAGACCACGTGTAACCACATCAGCCCAGGATCTCCACATCCGGCTTCTTCACCTGCGGGATCGTCTGAGACCAGCCACCCGGACAGCTGATGAAACTGTGGGTTTGCACAACTGAAGAATTTCTGCACAAAATGTCAGAAACCATCTAGTTTTCATCATCCTCACGAGGGTGTTGACCTGACTGCAGTTCAGCGTCATAACCGACTTCAGTGGGCAAATGCTCACCTTCGATGGCCAGTGGCATGCTAGAGAAGTGTGCTCTTCATGGATGAATCCCGGTTTCAACTGTACCTGGCAGATGGCAGACTTATGGCATCGTGTGGGCGAGCAGTTTGCTGATGTCAACGTTGTGAACAGAGTGCCCCATGGAGGCGGTGGGGTTATGGTATGGGCAGGCATAAGCTACGGACAACGAACACAGTTGCATTTTATCGATGGCAAGAGATACCGGGAAGAGATCCTGAGGCCCTTTCTTGTACCATTCATCCGCCACCGTCACCTTATGGTTCAGTATGATAATGCACGGCCCCATGTCACAAGGATCTGTACACAATTCCTTGAAGCTGAAAATATCAAAGTTCTTCCATGGCCTGCATACTCACCAGACATGTCACCCTTTGAGCATGTTTGGGATGCTCTGGAAAGAATGTATACAACAGCGTGTTCCAGTTCCCAACTATATCTAGCAACTTCGCACAGCCATTGAAGAGAAGTGGGACCTTTCTTCCACAGGTCACAATCAACAGCCTGATCCACTCTATGCAAAGGAGATGTGTCGCGCTGCATGAGGCAAATGGTGGTCACATCAGATACTGACTGGTTTTCTGATCCACGCCCCTACTTTATTTTTTAAGGTATCTGTGACCAACAGCGCCGGAGAAGATGGCTGCCGTTTTACAGCCCTCTAACCAATTGTACTATTATGTGTGTTTTTCCGCGTTATTTGTAATTTATTTTGTACATAATGTTTCTGCCATCGTCTCTTATAACCAAAAAGAGCTTCTGGATATCAGGACAGCGATTACTCACCTCGTATTGGACGAAGATTTTTTCTTCAACGAGGCGGCCGCGAAGGATATCATACAGACACCCGACAAGGCCCAAATCCCCGTCATTCGCGTGAGGAAGAGACGGAGATATTGTGGACGTAGATCGGGGTGCCTTGTAAGGATCCGACGGCGAGCGAGTAAACTGCCTCTTCCATCAATCCTATTAGCAAACGTTCAATCATTGGAGAACAAATTGGACGACTTAAGATTACAGTTATCCTACCAACGGGACATTAAAAACTGTAATATCTTATGTTTCACCGTGTCGTGGCTGAACGACGACATGGATTTCATACAGCTAGCGGGCTATACGCTACATCGGCAGGATAGAACGGCTGACTCCGGTAAGACAAGGGGTGGCGGTCTGTGTATATTTGTAAACAACAGCTGCTGCACAAAATCAAATACTAAGGAAGTCTCGAGGTTTTGCTCGCCTGAGGTAGAGTATCTTATGATAAGCTGTAGACCACACTATTTACCAAGAGAGTTTTCATCTATATTTTTCATAGCTGTCTATTTACCAGCACAAACCAATGCTGGCATTAAGATTGCACTGAATGAGTTGTACAAGGCCATAAATCAACAGGAAAACGCTCATCCAGATGCAGCGCTCCTAGTGGCCGGGGACTTTAATGCAGGGAAACTTAAATCCGTTCTACCTAATTTCTACCAGCATGTTAAATGTGCAACCAGAGGAAAAAAAACTCTAGACCACCTTTACTCCACACACAGAGACGCATACAAAGCTCTCCCTCGCCCTCCATTTGGCAAATCTGACCATAACTATATCCTCCTGATTCCTGCTTATAAGCAAAAACTAAAGCAGGAAGCACCAGTGACTCGGTTAATAAAAAAGTGGTCAGATGACGCAGATGCTAAGCTACAGGACTGTTTTGCTAGCACAGACTGGAACATCTTCCGGGATTCTTCAGACAGCATTGAGGAGTACACTACATCAGTCACTGGCTTCATCAATAAGTGCATCGATGATGTCGTCCCCACAGTGACCGTACGTACATACCCCAACCAGAAGCCATGGATTACAGGCAACATCCGCACTGAGCTAAAGGGTAGAGCTGCCGCTTTCAAGGAACGGGACTCTAACCCGGACGCTTATAAGAAATCCCGCTATGACCTCCGATGAACCATCAAACAGGCAAAGAGTCAATACAGGACTAAGATTGAATCATACTACACTGGCTCTGACGCTCGTCGGATGTGGCAGGGCTTGAAAACTATTACAGACTACAAAGGGAAGCACAGCCGCGAGCTGCCCAGTGACACAAGCCTACCAGACGAGCTAAACCACTTCTATGCTCGCTTCGAGGCAAGCAACACTGAAGCATGCATGAGAGCACCAGCTGTTCCGGATGACTATGTGATCACGCTCTCCGTAGCCGATGTGAGTAAGACTTTTAAGCAGGTCAACATTCACAAGGCCGCAGGGCCAGACGGATTACCAGAACGTGTACTCCGAGCATGTGCTGATCAAGTGTGTCTTCACTGACATTTTCAACATGTCCCTGACTGAGTCTGTAATACCAACATGTTTCAAGCAGACCACCATAGTCCCCGTGCCCAAGGACTCTAAGATAACCTGCCTAAATGACTACCGACCCGTAGCACTGACGTCTGTAGCCATGAAGTGCTTTGAAAGGCTGGTCATGGCTCACATCAACAGCATTATCCCAGAAACCCTAGACCCACTCCAATTTGCATACCGCCCCAACAGATCCACAGATGATGCAATCTCTATTGCACTCCACACTGCCCTTTCCCACCTGGACAAGAGGAACACCTATGTGAGAATGCTATTCATTGACTACAGCTCAGCATTCAACACCATAGTGCCCTCTAAGCTCATCACTAAGCTAAGGATCCTGGGACTAAACACCTCCCTCTGCAACTGGATCCTGGACTTCCTGACGGGCCGCCCCCAGGTGGTAAGGGTAGGTAACAACACATCTGCCACACTGATCCTCAACACAGGGGCCCCTCAGGGGTGCGTGCTCAGTCCCCTCCTGTACTCTCTGTTCACCCATGACTGCATGGCCAGGCACGACTCCAACACCATCATTAAGTTTGCCGACGACACAACAGTGGTAGGCCTGATCACCGACAACGATGAGACAGCCTATAGGGAGGAGGTCAGAGACCTGGCCGTGTGGTGCCAGGACAACAACCTCTCCCTCAACGTGACCAAGACAAAGGAGATGACTGTGGACTACAGGAAAAAAAAGAGGACTGAGCACGCCCCCATTCTCATCGACCGGGCTGTAGTGGAACAGGTTGAGAGCTTCAAGTTCCTTGGTGTCCACATCACCAACGAACTATCATGGTCCAAACACACCAAGACAGTCGTGAAGAGGGCACGACAAAGCCTATTCCCCCTCAGGAGACTGAAAAGAGTTGGCATGGGTCCTCAGATCCTCAAAAAATTATACAGCTGCACCATCGAGAGCATCCTGACTGGTTGCATCACCGCCTGGTATGGCAACTGCTTGGCCTCCGACCGCAAGGCACTACAGAGGGTAGTGCGTACGGCCCAGTACATCACTGGGGCCAAGCTTCCTGCCATCCAGGACCTCTATACCAGGCGGTGTCAGAGGAAGGCCCTCAAAATTGTCAAAGACTCCAGCCACCCTAGTCATAGACTGTTCTCTCTGCTACCGCACGGCAAGCGGTACCGGAGTGCCAAGTCTAGGTCCAAAAGACTTCTCAACAGCTTCTACCCCCAAGCCATAAGACTCCTGAACAGCTAATCATGGCTACCCGGACTATTTGCACTGCCCCCCCACCCCATCCTTTTTACGCTGCTGCTACTCTGTTAATTATTTATGCATAGTCACTTTAACTCTACCCACATGTACATATTACCTCAACTACCTCAACTAGCCGGTGCCCCTGCACATTGACTCTGCAACGGTACCCCCCTGTATATATAGCCTCCCTACTGTCACTTTATTTTACTTCTGCTCTTTTTTCTCTCAACACTTTTTTTGTTGTTGTTTGATTTTTACTTTTTTTGTGAAAAATAAATGCACTGTTGGTTAAGGGCTGTAAGTAAGCATTTCACTGTAATGTCTGCACCTGTTGTATTCGGCGCATGTGACCAATAAAAATTGATTTGATTTGATTTGATTTGTATTCCCAGTCATGTGAAATCCATAGATTAGGGCCTAATTAATGTATCTCAGTTGACTGATTTCCTTATATGAACTGTAACTCAGAAATATCTTTGTAGCGTTTATATTTTTGTTCAGTGTAGTATGCTTACTTATCTTATGTGTTTTTGTTCTACCTTGTTATTTTTTTGTATCACATTGTTATTGATTACTGCATTGTTTGGGTTAGAGCTTCACTGTACTTGTGCATGTGACATTAAAAACTAATTTAATTACATTTAACTAACATTAAAACTTGAAACTATTGTGCCTACTGTACCCTTGCGGTCTTTCACTTTGGAAACATCTAACCCCTAGCCCCCATCCCGGCTTTGTCTCCGACCCCTATCTAAACAATAGCTCTAGTCCGCTGCCTGTCTTTCTCTCTCATCCACTGTGCTCCAGGTCTCCCAGGATTTAGTCATATTTCCTCCAGCTGCCTGCCAGCAGACACATTGGAGGAGTGACTGTAATCAGTCGATGACTAATCTACTTTGTACATTTTCTAAAGCCAGGCTTCTCTCTGACTATATCAGTGGTGCGTGTGTGTGTGTGTGTTTGTGTGTGTGTTCTTACTCCAGCGACTGTACATGAGTGTGTGTTCTCGCTCCGTAAGCACATTTTACAGAATGAGTCATTACCAATCCCACAATTCATTCACTTTGATTAATTCCAAACATTCCCAGTCGTGTCCAATCATTGATCTGTTTTAGCTGAGGGGAGATAATGTATTTATCTATCCCTCATCCTCTCCCCCTCTCCCTCGCTCTCTTACTTTTGTTTTCTCTCTCTCTCTCTCGCTCTTTCTCTCTCACACACTATCTTTCTCTCTCGCGCTCTCTCTCACGCTCCTGTTTTTCTGTCTGGTTTCTCTAATCCTTTCTTCAACTCTTTCTCTCTCTCCCCCTCTCTATTGTTCACTTTGTCTTTCTCTTCAATCTCTCATACTCTTTCTTCCCTTGTAGGTTAAAATACATACTTGAACAGACATGTAGTAGGCACTGTGTTGTTGATTATATGAATCCAAGGTGAATTGTTGTTGTATTTAACAGATTGGAAGAGAGACCTTGATGGTTGATTTGTATTCTAGTTTCCTGTATCTGGCCATTATGAATGATTTTCTCCCTCCCTCCCTCCCTCCCTCCCTCCCTCCCTCCCTCCCCTCTCTCCCCTCCCTCCCTCCCTCCCTCCCTCCCTCCCTCTCTCCCTCCCCTCTCTCCCTCCCCTCCCTCCCCCTCCCCCCCGTGCTGCAGAAAGCAGAGATAGCGGTAGCCCCTCTGACTATAACCCTGGTCCGTGAGGAGGTGATAGACTTCTCGAAGCCCTTCATGTCCTTGGGGATCTCCATCATGATCAAGAAGCCCCAGAAGTCTAAACCTGGAGTGTTCTCTTTCCTGGACCCGCTGGCCTACGAGATCTGGATGTGCATCGTCTTCGCTTACATAGGAGTCAGCGTGGTGCTATTTCTGGTGAGTGTGTGTGTGTGTGTGTGTGTGTGTGTGTGTGTGTGACCAGAATCAGTTGAATCAGCTGTGTAGAGCTGGGCTGGAATAAAAGCCTTCACGCCCTGTAACTAACCCCTCTCCTCTGTCCCCAGGTGAGTCGTTTCAGTCCGTATGAGTGGCATGCAGAGGAACCAGAGGAGGGCTCTACTGAGCCAGGTCCCACTGACCAGCCACCCAACGAGTTTGGCATCTTCAACTCTCTCTGGTTCTCACTGGGGGCCTTCATGCAGCAGGGCTGCGACATCTCACCACGGTGAGTGTGTGTGTATGTGTGCGTGTTTTGTGTATGGGTGCGTGTGTGTGTGTGTGTGTGTGTGCATGTGCTTGTCTGTGTGTGTGTGTCTGCCAACCCAGCTCTCTCTAATGTCAGAGTGCTTTTGTCCTGCGTCAGAAGCTGCTGGTCATACTGAGTGCTGTGATTCAGATCAGTTGACTCTAGTACTGTGATACACACAGGTGTCCAGCGTGAGAGGGGAGCTAAAGGCGTGTCAAATAAATACACACACACACACAACCACACACTGTGTGACCCCTTGGTCAGCCTTCATATAGCTACATTTTGTGTGGGAGACTGGCGGTTGTCTGCATATTAAACTTTAATGTTCCAACGGGGGGGAAATGACAGGCTTTATTTTTAGAATATTTATAAGAATATAGCATTTTATTATTGATAACCTCAGAATGCAGTTTAGTGAAATATTAATGTCCACCATCCACATACCTTTAGGGAGCACATCTGATTAAAAAATAGAGTTTTCCATGAAACCAAGAGAGAGAGCGAGAGCGAAAGAGAGAGAGAGAGAGAGAGAGCGAGAGAGAGAGAGAGAGTGAGCTGTGCTTTGAGTGGACACTTCTCGGTGCACTCTGGGAGTTGTGGTGCAAGAAGCAGTCAGAGGTTTGTGCTGTTCAGTAGAACATTGTGTGTGTGTGTGTGTGTGTGTGTGTGTGTGTGTGGTGTGTGTGTGTGTGTGTGTGTGTGTGTGTGTGTGTGTGTGTGTGTGCGTGTGTGCATACATATGTGTGTGAGTCTGATTTCAATTAGCTTTTTTGTTTTTGATTGAAATTTGAATAGCTTTACATCAGCCTTACATGATCAGCTGCCTGTGTGCTGTACATTAGGACACACACACAAACATACACACACACACACTGCATTACCTCTATACTGTAACATTTTAATAATCTCAGAGCTCTCAAGGAGTGGCACTTTTTTTAGAAATAAACGTTGTGTGTATATGCGTACGTGCACGTGAGCGCTTTGTGTCATTGTGTTTGTTGGACAAGTCACTGTTGCATTACCTGAGGGAAGAGAACATTGAAGGAGGACTGGGTGATTTGTCTTCTGAATTTTAACTGTCTCCCAGACTTTTTCTACCTCCTCCCCCGCCCCCCCAAACCCACCCCCACCACCCACAGGGCGAGGCTCTCTCTCCTCTCTCTCTCTCGGATAGAGAGAGGAGAAGAGCGAGCAGAGGAGAGAAGGAAGAGAGCTTCTCAGCCAAAAAGATAAAAAGAGAGACGAGCGCTCCCCATCTCTCTCCTCTCGCTCTCTCTCCTAAGCTCTCCATCTCTCTACTCCTCTCGGCCCTCCTCCCTCCCTCCCTCCATCCCTCCCTCCCTCTCCTCTCCTCTATCTCTCTCTCCACCTCTCTCTCTCCCTCCCTCTCCTCCCCTCTCTCTCTCTCTCTCTTTCTCTCCACCTCACTCTCTCCCTCCATCTCACTTGAAATCACCTGTCGACTCCCACTACTCTCCATGAGTTTGAGAGACAGTCCAATTCCAGCCTCAGCCCTGGTAATGGCAGACACACACACATACAGACACACATACATATACACATACACATGATCATACACACACCAATACAGTCTTTAGCTAGGTTGTCCCATTTCTGGATCAATACAGTATGTACCTAGGTGGTCCCATTTCTGGATCAATACAGTCTGGAGCTAGGTGGTCCCATTTCTCGATCAATACAGTCTGTAGCTAGGTGGTCCCATTTCTGGATCAATACATTTTGTTGCTAGGTGGTCCAATTTCTGGATCAATACAGTTTGTTGCTAGGTGGTCCAATTTCTGGATCAATACATTCTGTTGCTAGGTGGTCCCATTTCTGGATCAATACAGTCTTTAGCTAGGTTGTCCTATTTCTGGATCAACACAGTATGTTGCTAGGTGGTCTACTTTCTGGAGCAATACAGTCTGGAGCTAGGTGGTCCCATTTCTGGATAAATACAGTCTGGAGCTAGGTGGTCCCATTTCTCGATCAATACAGTCTGTAGCTAGGTGGTCCCATTTCTCGATCAATACAGTCTTTAGCTAGGTGGTCCCATTTCTGGATCAATACAGTCTGTAGCTAGGTGGTCCCATTTCTGGATCAATACAGTCTGTTGCTAGGTGGTCCCATTTCTGGATCAATACAGTCTGGAGCTAGGTGGTCCCATTTCTGGATCAATACAGTATGTAGCTAGGTGGTCCCATTTCTGGATCAATACATTCTCTTGCTAGGTGGTCCCATTTCTGGATCAATACATTCTGTTGCTAGGTGGTCCAATTTCTGGATCAATACAGTCTGGAGCTAGGTGGTCCCATTTCTGGATCAATACAGTCTGTTGCTAGGTGGTCCCATTTCTGGATCAATACAGTTTGTTGCTAGGTGGTCCAATTTCTGGATCAAGACAGTATGTAGCTAGGTGGTCCCATTTCTGGATCAATACATTCTGTTGCTAGGTGGTCCCATTTCTGGATCAATACAGTCTGGAGCTAGGTGGTCCCATTTCTGGATCAATACAGTCTGTTGCTAGGTGGTCCCATTTCTGCATCAATACAGTCTGGAGCTAGGTGGTCCCATTTCTGGATCAATACAGTCTGTTGCTAGGTGGTCCCATTTCTGGATCAATACAGTTTGTCGCTAGGTGGTCCAATTTCTGGATCAATACATTCTGTTGCTAGGTGGTCCCATTTCTGGATCAATACAGTCTTTAGCTAGGTTGTCCCATTTCTGGATCAACACAGTATGTTGCTAGGTGTTCTACTTTCTGGATCAATACAGTCTGGAGCTAGGTGGTCCCATTTCTGGATAAATACAGTCTGGAGCTAGGTGGTCCCATTTCTCGATCAATACAGTCTGTAGCTAGGTGGTCCCATTTCTCGATCAATACAGTCTTTAGCTAGGTGGTCCCATTTCTGGATCAATACAGTCTGTAGCTAGGTGGTCCCATTTCTGGATCAATACAGTCTGTTGCTAGGTGGTCCCATTTCTGGATCAATACAGTCTGTTTTGCAAGGTGGTCCAATTTCTGGATCAATACAGTCTGGAGCTAGGTGGTCCCATTTCTGCATCAATACAGTCTGGAGCTAGGTGGTCCCATTTCTGCATCAATACAGTATGTGACTAGGTGGTCTCATTTCTGGATTAATACAGTCTGGAGCTAGGTGGTCCCATTTCAGCATCAATACAGTCTGTTGCTAGGTGGTCCCATTTCAGGATTAATACAATCTGGAGCTAGGTGGCCCCATTTCTGCATCAATACAGTCTGGAGCTAAGTGGTCCCATTTCTGGGTCAATACAGTCTGGAGCTAGGTGGTCCCATTTCTGCATCAATACACTATGGAGCTAGGTGGTCCCATTTCTGCATCAATACAGTATGTGGCTAGGTGGTCCCATTTCTGGATTAATACAGTCTGGAGCTAGGTGGTCCCATTTCAGCATCAATACAGTCTGGAGCTAGGTGGTCCCATTTCTGCATCAATACAGTATGTGGCTAGGTGGTCCCATTTCTGGATCAATACAGTCTGGAGCTAGGTGCATTCTGGATCAGTACAGTCTATAGCTAGGTGGTCCCATCTCTCGATCAATACAGTCTGTTGCTAGGTGGTCCCATTTCTGGATCAATACAGTCTGTAGCTAGGTGGTACCATTTCTGGATCAATACAGTCTGTTGCTAGGTGGTCCCATTTCAGGATCAATACAGTCTGTTGCTAGGTGGTCCCATTTCTGGATCAATACAGTCTGTAGCTAGGTGGTACCATTTATGGATCAATACAGTCTGTTGCTAGGTGGTCCCATTTCAGGATCAATACAGTCTGTTGCTAGGTGGTCCAATTTCTGGATCAATACAGTCTGGAGCTAGGTGTTCCAATTGTTTTATCAATACAGTCTATAGCTAGGTGGTCCCATTTCTGCATCAATACAGTATGTGGCTAGGTGGTCCCATTATTGGATTAATACAGTCTGGAGCTAGGTGGTCCCATTTCTGCAGCAATACAGTCTGTTGCTAGGTGGTCCCATTTCAGCATCAATACAGTCTGGAGCTAGGTGGTCCCATTTCTGCATCAATACAGTATGTGGCTAGGTTGTACAATTTCTGGATTAATACAGTCTGGTGCTAGGTGGTCCCATTTCTGGATCAATACAGCGTTTATCTAGGTGGTCCCATTTCTGTATCAATACAGTCTGGAGCTAGGTGGTCCCATTTCTGGATCAATACATTCTATAGCTAGGTGGTCCCATTTCTGCATCAATACAGTATGTGGCTAGGTTGTCCCATTATTGGATTAATACAGTCTGGAGCTAGGTGGTCCCATTTCTTCAGCAATACAGTCTGTTGCTAGGTGGTCCCATTTCAGCATCAATACAGTCTGGAGCTAGGTGGTCCCATTTCTGCATCAATACAGTATGTGGCTAGGTGGTCCAATTTCTGGATCAATACAGTCTGGAGCTAGGTGGTCCCATTTCTGGATCAATATAGCGTTTAGCTAGGTGGTCCCATTTCTGTATCAATACAGTATGTAGCTAGGTGGTCCCATTTCTGTATCAATACAGTCTGGAGCTATGTGGTCCCATTTCTGGATCAATACAGTCTGGAGCTAGGTGGTCCCATTTCTGGATCAATACAGTCTATAGCTAGGTGGTCCCATTTCTGCATCAATACAGTCTGGAGCTAGGTGGTCCCATTTCTGCATCAATACAGTCTGGAGCTAGGTGGTCCCATTTCTGGATCAACACAGTATGTAGCTAGGTGGTACCATTTCTGGATCAATACAGTCTTAGCTAGGTGGTCCCATTTCTGTATCAATACAGTATGTAGCTAGATGGTCCCATTTCTGGATAAATACAGTCTGTTGCTAGGTGGTCCCATTTCTGGATCAATACAGTCTGGAGCTATGTGGTCCCATTTCTGGATCAATACAGTCTGGAGCTAGGTGGTCCCATTTCTGGATCAATACAGTCTATAGCTAGGTGGTACCATTTCTGGATCAATACAGTCTGGAGCTAGGTGGTCCCATTTCTGGATCAATACATTCTATAGCTAGGTGGTCCCATTTTTGCATCAATACAGTATGTGGCTAGGTGGTCCCATTTCTGGATTAATACAGTCTGGAGCTAGGTGGTCCCATTTCTGCATCAATACAGTCTGGAGCTAGGTGGTCCCATTACTGCATCAATACAGTCTCTAGCTAGGTGGTCCCATTTCTGGATCAATACAGTCTTTAGCTAGGTGGTCCCATTTCTGGATCAATACAGTATGTAGCTAGGTGGTACCATTTCTGGATCAATACAGTCTGTTGCTAGGTGGTCCCATTTCTGAATCAATACAGTATGTTACTAGGTGGTCCAATTTCTGGATCAATACAGTCTGGAGCTAGGTGGTCCCATTTCTGGATCAATATAGTCTATAGCTAGGTGGTCCCATTTCTGCATCAATACAGTATGTGGCTAGGTGGTCCCATTTCTGGATTAATACTGTC